GAGCAATTTCTGAAATTTCATCTATTCAAAATACGAATTTACAAAAATTATGTATTGCAATATTTAATAAACGATGGAAAGAATTTGATATAGATATTTATTTATTAGCATTTTTTTTACATCCGAAATATAGAGGTAATTATTAAAATTATTTTTTTAAATTTTATTTAATAATAATTTTTTAATTTATTTTTTAGGATCTTGTTTTCAATACAAAATTTTTAAAAATATATCAAAAACTGCACTTATTCTTTGGAAAAATCAAGGCGGTGGAAAATTAAGTTCTGATTTATTATTGGCACAATTGGGCTTATATCGAAATAATGAAGATCCTTTTGATGATCCGTTTGTAGAAGGTACTCATACGCTTATGAATTGGTGGACATCTATAGAACTCAAAAAAGGTGAAGATCATATTCGTAAATTGGCTTTAAAACTACATGCAATTATTCCACATAATGCGGCATGTGAAAGAGTATTTTCAGTATTGGGATGGTATCTCAATAAACGAAGAACAAAGTATAAATTTTAATAATTAATTTTTTTTTTTAAAAAAATAATTATTAATATTTTTTTTAATTTTATATTAGAATTAATATTCAGCGATTACAGTCTATGGCACAAATACATTCATATCTTGTTATGAATGCAAAAACTGAGCTAAAATATGTTAATGAAGAAATAACTACCGAAGAACTTGATGAAACTTTTAATCAAATTATTTCATCAATGATAAATGATAATGATTTTTTTGACCAAGAAAGTAGATCAGAAGAAATCGCTGATATTAATAATGACCATAACTTTAATGAAATAGTTGATTTAGCAGAAGAAAACAACAGTCAATTAGATATAGCTGAGAGTATTGATTTGCGATCTACAATATTATCGGATAATATTATGTCTGAATGCGATGATGAAGATTATGGAATTAATCATGGCGATCCAAATTTTGACATCGATGAAATGATTGAAAATATTGAATAATTTAGCATTAATAGCATTTAGATAATTATGTATTGGTTATTTTTTCAAATA